GTGTTTATCTATGATAGAATCTAGAAGATAATTTTTTTTTAGATTCAGCAATTGCAATTAAATTACCCTCAATGAAAAGACCATTTTAACCAAAACTACATGACAGAATTTTTTCCCCACAACTTTATCAACACTGTATATTATCAAACTTTAAAAATTTTCCAAGTCCGATAAAACAATATTGTTTGAATTTGCATTCCTCTGACTATTAACTAATTGGAGTTATAGAAAATATGTATACACAGTATCTTATTTTTAAAAACATTTTAACAGTATGTCTGTGGTCATACAGTGGTATTAGAATATGCAGTAGCTATAACTGTGACTCTTTTCCTTTAGATATTTATCTTTTCCTTTTATGTCTTTTTTAAGACTTTCTCTACTAAAAATGTAAATCTATTTAATTTTATACTAAGCATTCAGAATTTAATTTTATACATTTAGTTCAAATACCCGTGACAAAAATTTTCAGTATATTTTGTTTATATTGCACACTTGAATAGTCAGTCACAAAAGATGACCTCCAATGAATAATTTTTGAAATGCCAGCTTTATTATTTCTAAATTCAATGAGACTTTTTCCTCAGTTCTGTTCTGTTCTATCCTATTCACTAGTACTAAAATTATTTTATAGAATTTTTTTTAACAGATAAAATGAGACCTTCCTCACATCCTTCTTTATAAATAACTTTCTCAGTATTTCTCATCATTTTATGCACCGGACAATTTTATCATTAGCTTGTCAAACATGGAAAATTTTCCTTTAGAGTTTTATTTGAGATTGCACTGAATTAGTAGATTATTTTGATAATATGTTACGTTTCTAAAACAGTATTTTTCCTTCCAAGATTATGTTACTCTTTTTATCCATGTTTTATAGATTTTTCATTTAGCTTGTACAATTTTATTTGATTCCATTTTAGATATTTTGTGTTTTTGTTTCTATTTGGAATTAAATCATTTTATAATAAATAAATATATATATATATATTTGGATAGTAGCTATATCAAGAGACATACCTGTCTTTTTTCTGTACATGTGAATGCTTTTAATATTTTATTGTTTTTCGTTGATTTTACTTTATTTTCTACCAAATTCCTTTTAAAAACAAATTTTCTTCTATTGTCCCTTTGTGTGTGTATGTGTGTGTGTGTGTGCACACGCATCTGTGTATACAGAAAAGGCATGTATTGGTGTTTTTTAATTTAAAATGAATTTTTAATTTTATCAATACATTTTAAAAAAACACTTCATTGAGGTTTGACTGACTGACATTTTTTGACATTTATTTAAAAGGTCATTATGTTGCACATTTAAACTTTGAATCAAAACTTTTAATATTGAGCCCTCCTTGAGATAAACTGTTACTTGGTTATGATCTATTTTTCTTTTAATATACTACTACTGTAGTTAATTTTCTAATATTTAAATTTTTATATGTATGATTATGTGTAAGGTTTATATTTTCTGTTTGTGTGTAACAATTTTTAAATCCAATATTGATGTTGGTATTATGCTATCTTTGAAGCCTGCATCGTAAATCTTTACTTTTTTCCTTTGCTCTTAATGAGTGTTTAATATCTTTGACTTCATTTTAGTGAATTTACATTTTCCTACTAAACTTCTATTTAATTTGAATTTTTCAAATTTAAAAATATTAAGCAGTATATAATATAGTCTTGATTTTTTGATCAAGCTTACTTTTGTTTTCTGTTTCATTAAATTCTACCTTATGTCTTTAATAAGTTCCTTACTTCTACTTATTTGGGTTAATTTGGCTATTCTTGTTATAGCTTCTTGAATTAAAAGCTGATTTTGATTTTTTTAGTCTTTCTTGTTTCTTAAACAATGCATTTATGATTACACAGTTGCCTCTGAGAGACGTTCTGGTTGCAATGATGGGTTTTGATATGAGTCTTTTTATGTTCATTCATTTTTAAATAGAGTATAATTTCCATTTACAGTGTTTCTTTGATCTAACAGTTATTTAGGTAGTTATTTTTTGGTTTCCAAATGCATTCAATTGTTATTTTACATACTTTCCCTTTTTGTCAACATCTATTATATTCATATTGTTCAAAGAATGTGGCCTGTATGATTTCTAGCTTTTAGAATTTACTGAGTTTTTCTCCCCTGCAACACAGTGAAATTTATTTTTATAATTTATGTTTGAAAAAATCTGTATATGCTCTTGGCTATATGACAAAAACCAAGTTAATTAAATTTTTTAAATTCTTGGTACTCTTAACATCTTTCACCCTGTTTTTATTCTTGTTAGATATTTGTTAGTCTTCTACCATGATTATAGATTTATCAATTTCTTCTAAAATGTATATTTTTATTTTAATTTTCCACTCCCTTCTTGTAATAAGTTTACATATTTACACTATTTACCTGTGGCTTGGTGCTAACTCCCAGCCAAGTAAGTGGAGAATCATTTCTAGTCATGTAATTTGCTTTTGCAGTAGACTATTAGAGGATTGGTATAAAGGCAGTAAAATTGCTTGCATAATTTGGTTTGGGATTCTGTTCATCTGCTCTTTGACTGAGAATATCATGCCCCAGAATACTATCCAACCCAATGTCAAGAACATGTAGTTTTGAAAGTCCCTTTTATTTGGGGGTTTTATTTTATACAGCATTAGTACAGCAAAAATAGGCCTAAAACCAAAATTAGTTACAGGATTGGATTGCTATATAATGAAAACTAAAAATACATGCTCTGGGTAAGAGTGACAGACTGTGATGAAACTGTTATGGGAGGAGGAGACCTGGTGAGCTTTGTTACACAATGGCAAAATGTGGTAAAACTATGATAATCTGGAAGGCAGAAAATTACTTTAATGAATTTATAGTATTGGATTAAGAGCTTTCATGGCAGAATGTTGATAGTAAAAGCTGGTTGTTATGAACTGCATTTTAAAAGGTGTTTTAAAAAGAATGGTCAGTGTGAATTATGGCATATGAAGTTGATTCAAATTAAATATATTTTCTAAAAAACAAAATCTAAAATAAAACTTTAACAGAGCTCTATTACCATTCTGGATTAAGAGAGACTGTGACTTTTAAAGATTGAAAAAGACGTTTTCCTCACTGCTCCCAAATTTGGCCAGGCAGAAAGCTAACTAGGAAATTTTTTTTTGACAGGAAGAACATATTCTTATTTTCTTTCTGGATGTGAATGATGACAATAAGGAATGATAATAAGGCATGATGATAAGGGATGTTGCAAAGAGAACAGAATAGAAACCTACACACAGAGAGGAGAGCTAGGCCTATTAAAGAAACATTTCCTACCCCAAAGAAGGAGGATCTGGCAACATTTTCTCTGCAATATTTTTGAATTGTTATGAACCAGTTATTTTTATGTGCCTTCCATTGTCTCCTTTTTATTTTATTTTATTTACATATTTTTTTTGCCTGTTCCTGTTTCATAATTATATGTTGAATATAGAGGGTAGGTTATTCATTTATTTTAGTTCATAGTTCTCTGGGTCAAGAGAAGTCACATTCAGACCTGACTTAGATCACAAGGTCTTGTATTTTGAGCCAGTTGTCATAATTTGATAGACTTTTGGGGCATCTCAGGGTAAAGGGGATATATTTTGTGAGTGAGAGTTAAGTAAATAATTGTGGAAAAATGTCTTACTGAACATAGATCCATAGTTTTATAATACTTTTATCTACAGACATAGAAAATTTTATTTGACAGTGAAATATAGTAAAGGCTATTGGTTTATATCAAATAATGTATATTCAGTTCTTCTTAAGCCTAACTCATATTTCCATACACTGAAATGTATTGCAGAAATTTTAACCAAAGATAATTTTAAATGGTAAACATTAGTAAGGTGAAAGGACAGAAAGGGATTAACTAACATGTTCCAGTAAAGACAATAAACCGAGTAGAAACTTATTGGAATTGGAAGTACATATTCTTGTTTGATGGAGATTTTATGAACATTAGATTTATGTGAAGAATTTACCCCACTATGAATATGAAAGAAGACCATTTTATTACCTACTGTGGAGACTAGTGATCAGGAAAACTAGAAAGTAAATTTTTTTTTAAACCTAAAAAATCTTGATAATTCAAGTATGGTTACCTTATCGCATTTTGAAAAACCACTTTCTTTAGGCCTAAAAATGATTATTATTTACAAAAGGTGCTATCTACCTCATCATTTTCTTTGTCATAGTTTTCTTTCCCTGTAAGAACTTGTGCTCTGACATTTATTTAAAAGTGAATTCTCAAGACTTGTAGAATAATCACAATGAGAAAAGTGCCAAATGATTTTATGAGGCAATAATCCAGTTTTCTTATTGCAAAACTCTAACCAGCCTTCAGCCTTATAGCTTATCCACATGGGAAACAGATTATTGCCTCATAAAACAGTTCGGTGCTCCTATTATGACTTAAATGTAATTGTGTTTAAAGACCCTGTCGATTCCATTTAACAAAATTCGTTTTTTTTTTTAAATCTTATTTCTTCATAACAATGGTTTCTAATGACCTTGATAATATATATGTGTGTATATATGTATATGTATATTACTGTTTGATTCCATTTAACTGAAACCTCCAGAATAGGCACATCCACAGAGACAGAAAGCAGACCAGAGGGTGCCAGAGGCTGGAGGAGAAACTGCTAATGGATATGGGAGTCTCCCCTTAGGGTACTGGAATACTCTGGAACAGACAGAGGTGATGGTCACACAACATGATGAATATACTAAATAATCCTGAATTGTACACTTTCAAATGGCCACAAATGGTGAACTTTATATTACATAAATTCTATCTCAAAAAATGTTTTTTGAAACAAAACACGCTACAGGTACTCTGACTTTGACATGTGCATTTATTTATCCTAAAAGGAAAAAAAAAAAGTAATGAATGACAGTGTCAGCGGCAGGGGAAAGGGGAGCGAGGCACCTGGAGTCCTGGAGACCCAGAGAGTGGGCAACTGGAGGGAACCAGGGAGCAGAGCCTGCTCCACCTCTGCATTCACCGGATCGTGTACTTGTCCCACTTCTTCTGGGGGTCGTAGGGCTCCCAGCGGCTGGCGGGGAAGATGTGCTTGTTCTTCTCGTACCAGCTCCTTAACACCACCTTGCCTGCATGTGACTCGTCCTTCTCCACAGTGGCATCACTGAGCAGCCGCACATCATCATGAACATCAAAATTAAAGAGTGGCCCACTCTTCCCTCGCGCCTTGGTGACGATGAAATCATAGAAACTGTGGTGATGGGGTATGATTAAGTCCTCTTTAATGTACATGAGCTGCTCCACCCCTGCTGATCTGAGCTCACTAAAGTCTTTGCGCAGGACCTCGAGCGCCTTCTGCAGGAACTGCTGCATGGTGTTGCCTTTTTTCATCTTGACGGTCCGCCGGTGCCCACAGCCATCCCAGTAACTGAAGGTGATTTCAATCTCCTCACTCTTAATCTTCTCCTGCTTGGCTTCCCATTCTTGCCGCAGCTCTTCCCGGAGCCGGTTTTCCTCTTCCTCACGGTCTCGGTCAGGCAAAAAACTTGTGTCCACATCTGGGTTCTTCCCCAATTTCCTCTTCTTCGTGGTGATCTCTTCCCTTTCCAGCTCCTCCTCGTACATGGCCATCTTTTCCTCCTTGTCCTCCTCGCCCGCCACCTCATCTTCCTCCAGGGTGAAGGACAGGCTGGAGATCTTCCGCTTGGCCTCCTTCTTGCGCTCCTTCTCTCGCAGCTTCTCCAGCTTCAGCTGCAGTTCCTTCGACTGCTCCTTCTTGGCCAGCTGCTTCTCCCGCTCCTTTACCAGTTCCTCCTGCTTGGCTTTCATGTCATTCAGGGTCACAAGTCCCACGGTGCTGGATTTGAGCTCTGCCTCCACGGCATCGTAGTGCGCAGAGAACTTCTTGTCGATGTTGGATTTCATTATGTTCTCTTCGGCGATCCGCTGCTTCATCTGCTCCATCTGCTCGCGGTGCTTCTCCCGCTTCTTCATCAGGTGCATGGCGCGGCCCGCCTCGCTCACAGCGCCCTTGTACTGAGCCATGGCGGCGGCAGCAGTGGCAGCAGCAGAGGCGACGGCGACAGCAGCCTGGACGAGTCTCAGGAGCTGTGGCGACGCTGTCCATGCAATCAGCAGACGCCCGCGCTGCCAAGTGACGTAGGCCACCAGGAAATGCGCCACCTCGATGATGTTTGAATGTGTGCCCAGTTTAGTTTTCAAGAATAGTTTTTTGTTTTTAAGTAATATTTTTACTGGAAACGTTTTCAGTGTTTCGTAGTTTGTTATAATTCACCATCTCCCCCCGCCCCGAGGTAATTTATTTAACTTAATAAGTGAACTATTTTCTTGTTTCAACTAATACAATAACAAAAAAATTTTTCTCTCTTGCACATTCATCAACAGTGATAACTTAGTATTCAGTGATTGCATTTAATGTTGTACATGCTAATGTTACACAATTTTATATCTGAACCGGGTTTTAGTACTTTTAACATGTGTGACCATGGTCAAAATTTTAATACTCTAAGCCTTAGTTTTCTTATTTATTAAAAATTGGGGATATTATAATAAAAATAGAGCTATCTAACAGGAAATTTAAAGGGAATTAGATGCCATATTAGTTTTTTTTTTGTTCCTTATGTATATTAGTTTTACCCTATTTTATATGTAAAAATGGATGTATTATAGAGCCGCTACATGTATATAAAAGAAAGATTTTAGATAAAATAATCAGATAAAAAATCTGGTCAAAAGATTTTTGTAACAATTAAAGATTATAGACTTCAGAACAGGAATACAAAGTATAAATCACTTCATAGGATAAATTTCAATATTGTAACAAGAAAAGGGATAATTTGAAATAGTTAAAAATCATAGCAGGGTATGGAGACAATGATTGGATATCCTCCAATATCCTTGGCTAATTTGTTGATAATTTAATTGTTGAGGCCCTCAAAATTTTGTTCCCTGTCAAATATCATCATTAATTCTAGAGCAGTATTTTTATTTGTGAATATTAGAGCAATGTAGCAAAGGCTTTGTATTTAATGAATGGCTGTGTCATTCTTCTCTCCCGTGAAATGTGAAATATTATCTGTGCATTAATTCAGTGATTGCCCATCCCTTTTTTTACTTGACAATCACAACTGTAACTCATGTGAGTCAGATTTATATTGTACTCAAGAATATTTTTCTTCAGTCAACTATAAGTATAGAAAATCATATGTTTTATTTTTTCCACAGGAGTCTATGTATTAAGAACCAAATTTTAATTTCCTTTAAAGTGAAAATTGTAGATTCTTCTAACTTAATAAAAATTATTCACTTAACACTCAATGTTAAGAAATTATTTAATTTCTCTTAGTCGAAGCAATGTTAATTACCAATTTACCTTACATATGTCAAAGGCATGTTGGAGTGTTTAGAGTGTTGTTTGGTCTCATAAATTTAGTGCAATTAATAAATGCTTTAAAAAATTTCTAGCATTTAGTACACATTAGGTTAGGGACACAAAGTATAAAAGTCTTCCTATTTTTGTCATTTTCACTAACATTGATTTTTAGTTATATTCAGTAACTGAGTCACTAAATATCTATTTAGCTTATTTTTTTCTACAAGCTTTTTAAGGAAGAGCATATTTCTGGGAGATATTTATAATGGAGCACTATTATCATTTACTTCCTAACTTGTGGGAAATTGAAAGAGAAGAAAGATTAGTGGTTATGACTATCATCAGTGAAGAAAAATGAAAAGAAAGTGGCGACTAGATTATCTTACCCCTGAGTAAACATATGATAGCTTCTGTAATCAATTTTCTACTATTTTTAGAAAATTATTTTTATTGTAAACAGAGGAGCGGCCAAAGTGAAATCTGCTTACTTTATTATGTTAACATTTCTCTTAGGGCTTAACACTACTAAGACTCTGAAGTTTTATGTGTTAACATTTTTTTGGTCTCTTGAAAAATGACATCAGTGAACTTCACAGAACTTGTTTCCATCTTCTTCATAGGGGCATTGCGAAAATGGCCATTAACATTTATAGAGTGTCTTGAGCTCCTAAAAAGAAAGACATTACTCAAGAACAAAATAAATAATTTTAAAAGAAACATTTGAATAATTTAATTGTAAATGAATCAAGCACATATGCATTAAACTTATGTAAATACAAGTATGAAATTAAACAGTACTTTACTTGTCCAAACCTGCTTTAGGCTTTATAAAATGAAAACATTTTAAATGGTTTAATAGATTTTATAAACTTCATATGTAGACAAGTATGTCAATCCTTGATATTATAAATATTTTGTTATGAATATTCAAAAGAACTATTTATATTTCTACTAATGATTACACAAATTATCAAGAAAAATTATAATGTTAAAGAAATATTTATTTCAAATCAAAAGAAATTATTGCTTTGTTTTTACCAAATACTGATTGAAAAGATAAGTCATTTTCTATCCATTCAATTGATATTTGATTACAGATAATGGTAGACTTTACTACATTTATTAGATAGACAACAAATAATTATTAAATAAGTTTTGGAGTAGGAATGCTGAAATGAGAAATTACAGGTTTGCTCAAACATCCATGGAGTCAATGTCTAGCCTTGGAATCTCAAACGTGACATTTAATGGGCCTCAGAAGACTGAGAACATATGTATGAAAATATAATGATTACAAAGTCTTGGTGGAATCCATCATTAATGAGCCTATGCAGAGACTCAACTGATGTTATAGCCTTTTAAATGGAAATTGTTTTTTTTTCTTACCTAAATCGACAAGGCTAGAGCAAGACTATAAATAAAAGATAAATTGCATTGACTTCTTTGTTTTTCTTCTTAACACTGCTCAAAATTATTTGAGTATATTTGAGAAATATAGCTTTGAAAATTCACAATCCTGCTCTGAATCCACAAAACTCAATTTGATTCTAAATAATATATGTCATTTTGGCTGCTTCCAAGTTTCAGGGTTGTTATTGGTAAGGTCACTAAATTGTCAATTTTAATACCTTGCCTTTGAAAGCATTCACATAAAAGAGATAGTTCCATAAGTAATAATTATTATAGCATAATATGAAGGTGAAAATAAAAAAATAAGTACTAACCATGTATCAGGCCCTGTGATTTGAATAACTTGGTTAAGATTACAAGTAGGAGACAGACCTAGAATTCAAACCCAGGTCTGCGTGGCTCCAAATTTTATTCTATTCTCTTTTTATTTTACTTCTTACTATGATAATCCATTTTTATGGCTTTTCATAGTAGTTACAGCTGCAAAGATTGCCTGAAGTTATTACTTTGGTAGCAGCTAAAGAAATTGTGGATGTTAGATATTCTCCATAGACTTTCTAGCCATGAAGAACTTACTACCATATGTTAACTGATTAACTTGTTATGAAGTAGGAGTGATTTAATTTAATTTGCCAGGAATAGATGAATTTGGCCTAACGGTATGCAGAGTTTTCCCCTGATTTAGGGGGAGTCCCAATCTTTATATTCTCTTACTTATTTGAAATATATTAGAAAAAAATAGAAGAGTATGAGAGAGAGCACTTAGTAAATCTACTAAACTCTTTACATCAATGATATATAACACCAATAAGAACAACATAGTTCTTAGGACAAAAAAAAAAAACTGTGCATTTTTTTTACTAGACCCTGGGAAAACATGTATGCTTATCCCACTCCACCTTCAAGATGAAATAGAAAATTAAAAGAAGTCTTCTGTGATATACAGCCAAGCCAATCTTTAATCAGATGGAAGTTTTAGGGTGAGGAGTGTAAAAATACACATAAAACTAGATTGGCTAAATCTTCTCTTCGCTTGTGAATCACTTCCACACGAAATATTCTCATTTAATCACTTAATTCCATTTTTCTCCCCATGTTGGTGAGAGAAAATACCAAGGAAGAGGATACTTGATTAAAACAGTAGCTTCCCTTTCATTGTGAACGTATGTTTCATTACTTTGATAAATACTTTATACGTGCTATTATATTATGTTTCAACAATTGAGTGAAATATATTGTGTTATCATTTTACTAAAGAAGAAATATGATATGAAATGAGTAGAACTAAGATTGATCAGCTAGAGAGTACAGATCCTGGATTTCATCCTGTTAAGAGTTGGTTCCCAAGATATGCTCTTGACTTCTATGGTAACTCTAATGTAAATAAACATTTCTAACCTAGGAGTATTCCAGTCAAGCCAAATAGGAATTTAGAAATAAATGCCAACAAAACAGTGTTGTATGTCCTCTAGCGAATATCTCTTAGAATTTGTGAAGAAGTAAATAGCAGGATAGAATTCAAGGACTCATGTATGCTGACTTTGTATTATAGTACTGTCTGTATTATTATTCCTAATGTAAATGAGAAAACCAAGGCCCAGAAAGCTCTCATCACCCATCTCTTATAGTCTGGGACTTTGACAAAAATCTTTTTTTTTTTTTTATTTGATGACAATACTGAATATTTATCATTTAATATTTATGTTATAGCACCCACTTCTGATTAAGGAAGAGTGTTAGCCATCATCTTCTTTTCCCTCTGTCTTTGTAAGCAAGCAAGGAATCAGTTTTCAGCTGCTAAGTTGATAAGACAAATGTAAGATAGTTAGAAGTGTCTATTGAATTATCAATAGTCTTTTAAAGTATGACTCTAATTCAAGAACTTTTTTAAGGTATGACTCTAATTCATGAAAGTATAACAATGTGTGTTTTATAGCTTATTTTTTGTTATTTTCTATCAATTTTCTTTGCTTTTTATTTCTTCCTGGCTATAGACTCTAAATGAATTAGAAATATTGATCAAATAGATGAGCATGTATGTATATACAATTTATAGCCTATTATATTTTAGAAGAGAGTAGACATAGAGGGAAATTATTTTTAAATTATGCTAGGTAGCCTTTATGTAAGAATGGGAATTTCAGCTACTTAAAATATCAAATAGAGATATCACAAAAGTATACAATAAAGACATTCTATTTTAAATGTGAAAATCTGAAGACAGTCAGAAATTCTGTATACT